TAAAATCCGATGTTGCAAATTAGACTAGCCTACACCTATTGGTTACAAGTATATGAATGAACTGAGAAGAAAGGTTCAGAGAGCTACAAAGTCTGGACGATCAGATCAGTTTCACATGGAAACCTTTAAGGAAAACGAGGTTTGCTTACTAGCGAACCTTAATGATGATTTTCAGTCCAAGGACGGAATATTTGGTCCCTGCAGGACACAGATTGTGCAAAACTGGTATACCAATCGTATTCTTGTTGTCCGCGAACGATTTCACAACCTATCCGATTGTCATGTTGCGCAGCAGAACTAGTAGCACTAATAATTCTGCAACCAAAAATACCTTCGCAAATCTACTTGCAATGCAATTCAACTAACCTGTTTGAAATCAGTCACAGAACGCTAATTCAAATCTTACTTTTTTCCAAAACCGTTGGACACTAAGCACAAGTGTGCTGCTTAACCAATTATGTTTCTTTCCACTGTGATGTTCTTTCTTTCTCAGATTTTTATTTTAAACTAAACTTATGATTAGCTTTTTGTTTTTATAGCATTCCTAATCACGTCATGCCATTTCTATCTCAATCAATGAACACATAATCATTCGGACATAATCTTACCCACTTCTATTTGATTTAATCATTCATGTGCATTACAAATGACGTGTACATTGCGCTGGTACGGTTGCTAAATAGCATATACTGTAGTCAATGCTCTTGGATATAATGGTAGTTGTAGGTTCATGTGGAGCAGAACAATTATCGAAAAAATGTCAACCGTGTTTGGGTTTCNCGTTCGATGCTTCCTGATCAAAACATCCTTATTTTCCTGGAGCCGATGAGAATCAAGGATGAACGGTCACGAGTGCACTGGTATGATTGAATTCCGAAATCACTGGCGAACCTGGAGTTGTTTAACTACAACGCATTTTAGTGATAACGAAGTTCGGTAAATTGCAAGTTGAGAAATTTCTTCCAATTTTATTCAAATACTTTTTGTGGTGCCAAGCTGCAGTCCATGCAATCTATCTATATGATTATCCTTGGGGACAGTCATGTTTGTTCATTTCGAGTAATCATCAGCAAGAACTTGTCTGGGGAATAGTGGAAGTCACTTAGCCAACCAATGTGAGTATACAAAAGCGATCTATCGGTATGATGGATTTTAGAGATAAACTATTATAGGAAAATCAGAATAATTTGAAGAAGCGAGCGTTCATACCCATTCTAAACTGATTAGGACTGGAATTGTGATACTTAAGAGTCATGATAAGATGAAACTCGAAATGAGAAAGTAGTTACCTTTAATCGAAACAGAAAACTGTAGTGTATAACACTGAGCAAAACACGTATTTAAGCCAACTTCTTGAGGACTTCTAGATGATGGAAGTTTGCTGCAACACAACGCGACATCATAAGGCACTGCACACCCAAGCTGATTGAAGTTGCAGACAGTCGCGCAGGACATGGCGATTTCAGTTAGTCTCGCGAACCTGAACGCTGCTTTTTGGATTGGATTGGTGACGGTAAGCTCAGTAGCGAATTAAACTTGTAGAAGCAGCACAGCAAACAATATTCAGATGTGTTGTTGAAACGTAAAAATCTTCTTTATATTTGTGCCTCATTTAATTTAACTGTTTCAATTATTGATGTTGGTTTTATCATAATTCAGTACAGCTTGGTGGAAACATTTCAGTTCTGACACTCCGGTTTTTCGAAAACAAAGTTAAATTCACATGCATCCGAAGTTGAAGAATCGTTAGACGCTTCAAGCGATGGTTCAGCTTACTAAAAAGCAGTAAATATAAACCACATACGTCATTTCATTGAGTGTAATGAAATATATTCATTACTAGACATATACAGCTGTTCCTGATGTTTCGACTTCCAAGTTATACCGAAGGCCATATTTCATTTTTTGGTAGAATTTTCAGAATAAACGCATTAATGAGAGAGTGGTTAAGTTTATTTCTTATTAAAGGCTTCTATTTAAAGTTATCCATGAAGCTATGATACAAAATCAACTGGGCTGATGTAAGGAACCCGAGATGAAACCGAACTTGGGATTCTATTATACTCTCAGTAGGTTCTGCCGACGATTTGCTTCCTTGCTTGCTTCTCATACGTGATCGTCTTATTTGAAGTTCGTTTCCAATAGATAGCATTCTCAAGCACTTCTTGCCACTGGAAGACGTGTAAAATCCTTTTTTAAATGTATAGTAAATATCGTTGAATTGTGAACAGGTTACTGTTTTGTTACCCGAGTTGCACTCCAGGAATACATCTCACACGTGATTGAAATGTGACTGAACAGTTGTATTTTAGTAACAACACACGGTGAAAGTTTACATGTGTTACGCGTCAGTGGGTCACACGATAACTTTAGCCCACCGTACTTTTTCCAAACACGGTGTAAAGTAAATAGGTTGATTGACGTGAATGATAGACAACTACGGATGAGTTGTTTTGTATCCTTTTCTTCTAAATTGGATATGCGATTACCACAGGTCTGTGAACAGTACGTCACTTGCGGTAGTGGTATTTGGTTACAGGTAATGCAAATGATCCTGAAGACCTCACGGCTGACATTTATGTGCATTCTTTTCGACGAGGATTCTTTGCAGTGCATGCCATCAGTGATATGCTTGCGAGAGCATGATAGTGTGTTGCCCATGACCAATGTGGGCCACAATTTGTCTCCATCGAGTGCGCTCCACACTCAATCTCTTCTTTTGGAAAAGCTGGAAAAATAAACCTCTTCACATTTTGTGCGATCCCAGAGCTCGGTATATTCTTGAAACTGCAGTGGGTGACTCCTTACTGCTTTGTGATATTATTAAGGTATGGAATAACAATATTCGTTTTTGTTGAGCAATCGTCAGGGAGGAGTTGATGCTTAGAGCGTGTCGGGATACTGGACAGAGATTCGAAGACTCCGGGGAGCCGATGCAGTGCTCTTGATGGCGTTTCATCCGGACAATAAATCTGTTAAACGTTCAAATATGTGGAAAGTATACTTTTTCCAACTTATCAGGAATACAATTTTAGGGCAACTGGAAAACAAGTGATATCGTTTCCTTTCAGGCCAGAATTAAATATTATGTTTTAGAAGGACACTTGCAATCACAGACTTCAGGATGAGACTATATGAAGACGCAGTTCTGACAGCCTATTAGGGTATAAATACAGTTTTCGGGAGACGAGTTATGAGAAAACTGAAACAAGCCTTTCCCAATATCAAATTAAAAAAAAACAAATTCGAATACTGCACGATTTATGTGTCAGATCGACTATGCCAAAGAGACTTAGCGTTACAAACCACTGATCAAGTGGTCATTCTGGACGACTTGAACGCTTTCTGCCGAATCACGTATTCTAACTGTTGTGTTGATGCTGTCCGGAAAACAAGAATATGTACGCTAACAAAACTTCAGAAATCTCCACTGCATAGACTAGCAGAAAATTGGTTCCCGAACTAACCGGATAAATTAGTTAAAAATCTATCATCGGTAGAACTGAATGAGCTCTAACTGCAAGCACTTTCGTGTGGCCTTTGCTTTTGTGTTGCACCCAAGAAAATTGAATCACGGGCTCAGTTTGAATATTTTTTCGAACAAGTTAAAATGCTCAAAGCAACTTCAAAAGATGCTCAGTCGTGGATAAAAGCCAAACTGTTCGACTTTGAGCGTCAGTACCGAATAACAAATTCGAAACAAAAGACACTTCTCACTCCTGAGCATTTATCAGCTTCACAGAAGTTTAAGGAAAAGTCCGATTTGATCATTTTACATCCTGACAAAGGATCTGGGGCTGTCGTGATGGACCGTGCACACCACCAAAGAAAAATAGATTGCATCTTCAATGACCCTAGCAAGTTTTTACAAGAAAAGACATGTGACGACAGAGCTGGAGCGTTAAATTGCCTGTGAAGTTCAGTTCGTATTGGAGGGGAATTTCATTGATGAGAACACTGCCCGGGCTCTGAAGTCTAGAGGAATTCATATTCCACAACTTTATGGCCTGCCAAAACTCCATAAGCTTGGCGTACCAATCAGGCCAATCCTGTCCATGACGAACTCACCACAGCACAAAATGGCCAAATGGCTGGTCAAGGTGTTAGAACCAGTCCACAAATCAATGGTGAAACATACCGTCAAGGACAGTTTCGAATTGATAGACGTTTTGGATAAGGTAAACGTCAAAGGAAAACCTATGGCTTCATTCGATGTCCAATCCTCATTTAGAAATGTACCAGTTCGTGAAGTTTTCAAAAATGGTTTGCGATCATACAAAATGTAATCAAATCCGAGTGAAGCTACCAGTGTCAGTGCGTGAGCGTTTACTACCACTCTGTACAACCAATGTTTCTTCCACGTTTCAGGGAAATGCGTACAGGCAAATTGATGGTGTCGCTATGGGAAGCCCGTTAGGCCCTGTTCTGGCAGACCTGTTTATGGCACATCTCGTACAGAAGGCAAATAACATTCTAGAACGTGCAATCCTGTACAAACGATACGTCGACGACACCCTTGTGATAACAGAAAGCCTAGAAGAAGCTGCAGTAAGTTTGGATGAACTCAATAGATTACATCCCAAATATTCGCTTCACAATGGGATCCGATGTCAAAAACACACTGATTTTCCTCGACATCAGCATGAGGCGAAGAGAAGACGGAACGATCCCCCATCCGTTCACTGAAAGATAACCTGGACAGGCCATTTTTAACATTTCGAGAGCTTTGTGCTCCTGGAGTATAAACGTGGTCTTGTTCGGACTCTATTCAGCAGAACGAGACGGATCTGCACGGAGGACTAAAGAGAACAAGAACTGAAAAACCTAAGGGAGTTGTTAGCAGAAAACGCTTACCGCGACGCGTTGACCAATGAACACAGCTAACTAACGATTGTGTCTGCCCCGAAATTGCGAGTCACGTTGTGCCTCAAATTCATAGGTGATGACGTAAGCAGTTTGTTCAAAAAAACGACTGAGATCGGCAATTGATCGAACCTACTATGCAGCCGACCCCCAAATCGTCTATCGGACAGTTAGAATACCCACACACCCAGAAAAAGACGTCTTGCTCAGTACGCCAACTTAAATCTGAATTACCAATTCCAATGTGGGTGCAGAGCGACCTACGTGGGTAGAACAGAGCAACAGTTACGCAACCGGTTGGTTGAACATATCCCAAATTGGGTTTAAAGTCAGATGACGAAATCTGGGTCAGTTCCGCAGCATAGGAACAACGGTTGAAACTACAAGACTCCGTCATCAGCCATAGCTCGACATCTTCTGATGACGCAACACCAGATCGACCGAAGCATGGCGTTTCGGATTAGCTGCAAGTCACGAATCGCAAGATTCCTGCGGTTTGCAGAAGTGTTTGCTATCAGTTGATGGAAGCCCCATGTGTCAACAAAAATAAATGAATGTTAGTTTATCCGTATCCTGGTGACAGTCTTTTTAACCCCTCTCCCTTTTTATGTTTGTCTGTTTCATTGTACTTTACTCTTCTCTGTTGCCATGCTAAGTTCCTACCTAACCGATGTTTTTTCTGCAGTATGCACCATGTTGAGATTCAGCGAAATCGTCTTGGACATAAATCGTGCAGTATTGCAATTTGGTCTTTCTTCTTCAAATAAATACAGTTTCAATTTTTTTTTTGAAATCGCTGAAGACATGTGCGAACCAGTGAAGAATATAGGTGAGAATGACACCAAGGTATTTAACAGAAACAGATTTAAGTATGAACTACGAGGTCAAGGAGATTACTTGCAAATCAAGGATGAAGGGACCGGTTCGAAGTTTAGTCCGGATGTCAAAACATATGTTAGTCTTCAGTACACGAGGTCTGGACGCAGACCCATTGTGCAGTTCCTTGACGCTGTTCTAGGCGGGAGGGGTCAAAAAGCTGTTTCTGCATGGGCACCAATCACAATATCATACTACTGAATTGAATTTACTTTACTAAATTGAATTTACGGAGGACAAAGAGATTCTTCGTGAAAATGGATAAACGAAGGGAGACAAATCAGAATCGTGGAAAACACTCAAATCCATGTTTATGGAGGCCGATATTAAACCAATAAATAAAGTGTACTTGATCCTAGGAAGAAGCAATCCACTGCAAAACTCCAGGTGTCGGACGACATTCACGAAGACGTTGAATAAGCATTATTCGATCGAGATAACCTAAGGCATTCGAGTAATCAAAAAATAGTGAAAGACTGGCATCTGCAATTTTCTCGAATACAAAAGAATGGTTAATTTGGACAAGCACATCTTTTGTAGACAGACTGTATTGATATGCAAACGGCCATGAAATATGTATAAGGGTACCCTGTGGTGCACGTTAGGAAAATCAAATGTTTTCAACAACTTAGATGTGATGGGAATTTGACAGTACACTGACAATTCTTTAGTAGATATCTCATTGAACAAAAGCCGGATAAGATGGCAGCAGTTTGTTTCCGTCAAATTATATCACGTTTCTGTTGAAAGATTTTTACTGTTCATTCATAGTTTACATTCTCGATGGAGATGATATTCATTGCTGTTTTAAATCTCTTCCATGAACGCCGCTGGTGAGTTTATGATGATTGTGTAGGCATTATTGTCAATTATTCTGCAATTCGTTTCCTCTCCACATTGTTAGATATTGATGCGAAATAACGAATGTTCTCAATCATCCACGAACTAACTAAACGTAGCATGTAACAAATTGTAACATGGGAAATGCCTTACTTATTCACCCGGGAGA